GTACGAATTGTCGCGACCTAATCGTCCCATCCTAATCTACGCGGGCGAGCCTCGTGCGTACTGGGATACTCTGCGGTCCGCGTCGTCGAAAACGTCGCCTCCTTGGTTGCAACGTGCACGTAGAAGCACATGCCTTGCGCGATTAACGACCAATCGCGCCAGTACACGTTACAGCTCTCTCATTATTTTGTTTTTAATTTGTAACACGTAGAAATAACGAATCTTTTATACATTCGAAAAATAGAATTAAAATCTAAAGAGGTCGTTTCGACTCAAGCGCAAATTCGCTTCTTAAATTATGATTTTTACTCGCCGAATATCAGTTTCAACTTCCAAAGGATAGAAAACGATGAGAAGTTCCATTGTATATTCGTCACCTAATCTTAAACACTCAAATTGCAAATAGCAATGTATTCACATTATTCCCTCGTGTCCCGGCCAATTTTCGCCTGGTTAGCGAACGTGTGTAAAATTACAGGTACCAATTGGATAACGCAGTCTATAGAGAGAAAAACCACTAACAATTTGATCGTCGTCTGCTTGCAGAATTTGATCCAATTACGAGCAATACGATGAAAAGGACAGGTATCCGTAGCGACTGCGAATTATTTTCGGCGACGCGGACAGTCTCGTTTTGTCCCACACTTTTGCCCGCGCGCTTTCTATTTCCCTCTTGGTGTATCACCTTTTCTTTCACGGAACAAAACGGAAAAGAAATCGCCGAAAGACGTACCGCGTTGCACCTGATGGATCGTGGAGATTTGAGATCCGCCGATTATAGACCGCACTTAACGTCGCGACGAAACATCGTAACCGTAATTGAATTAACGACAATCATAGTGTACGCTCGTTTACTATCATCCGCACGATAAATATCATTTTTTTTCACATCTAACGATAAATCTTTCGATAAAAGGTATCGGGCTTGAATTTCTAGGTGTGTCGGTGATGCGAATTCGCGCGGGTATAGGTTTGGATGGGCTTTGGGGTTAGAGGAGGGTGGTAAGGGGGTGAGTGAGTTAGTGGTCGGAACAAGTGTATAAACAGATTTCCCTCCTTTTCGCATAATAATGCCTGGTGAACGTTTAGAAAAAGACATGGAGGCATCGAGTAGGTCAGACCACACCGTGTGACTTGTATACTTGATCGAAGGTGTGTCTGCGAGGAAGTGAGGAGTAGGTGAGGACTAAAGGGAAGAGAGAGAGAGAGAGAGACAGGCGGTGGTGTGGTGGTGGATAGTTAAAAAGTGACTTAGCGGACACAGGGCGAAGGAAGGTTTAAATTTACGTTTACACACAATCATAATTAGCTTGCATTTCGCTTTGTTGCTGTTCAGCTTTTTTTTTCTTTAACCCTAAGGAGACCTTAACGTTTACACTCAATAACTTGTTTCCGCGTTTACGCGCGCTTCCTTTAAAGTTACATTATTCACGGTTTTTTTGCTTTAAATAGGGTAAATTTTAAGTTTAGTTCCAAAAAACACCGAGAGAGTAGCCTTGCCTATATGGTTTACTTTTTTCGTAGGTATAATTTTTTTTGCATTAATAAGGAATTTTTGCATTTTTAAAACACCGAACATACATGCCTTATACTTTATGTACAGCCTAGAGTCTTTCAGTCGTTACTTTTAAAGAGAGTCATGAGATGAGTGCGTGTGGATCATCCTTTTTCGTTTCCTGCTGCTGCCTCTGTATATCCTCCTCTTTTCTGTTTATTTATTTCGCGTCATTTTCCCGCGACTACGCTCGACTATGCGAGAAAAATAGGAAATCCTGGCCCGCACTACAGCACCATTTTATATTTCTTTTTGTCGCCGTTTTCTCGCGTTCGTCTGGCCTCCGATCCTTCCTACTCCGGCTTTCGTCTCCGTCTCGATCTCGTCTTGGTCCAACGGTCTGCCTGCTACATTAACGAAACGACGAAATCGCCCTTTTAACACTAACCGCGGATCCATCTCTCTACGAACTCCCAATTCTTTAACCGAAAGAAACGCGACGGCAGTCGCGCACGTCGTGAAATTATTCACCGGAGAAGTGCGTTAACTTTCAATTGTGTGTACAACTTGGATATTTTCTCGTAAGGGTATCTCTTAAGAAAATATATGCTATTTCTAAATCAAATTATCTATAGATTTCAATCAAATTGTCCGCAACATGTACACGTGGTCGAAATGGAAAATGTTTTCACGTCTGGATCGCAAACGCTGCTCTAATTAAATTACCGCGCCGTGTAAATTATCGGGCAAAATTTTGACTGAGAACCGCGTATCGACGTTTTTATACAATTATTGGCAAAACTTCAGACTTTCATCAAGATTCCAAGAGTTTTCATCGAACTTGAAAATTTACATCGTATCCAAACTCTCAAGTGTACTTCTCTCGAGTGACGTATCACAATCGCGTGCATAATCGGACGTGCATGACCGCGTAAATTCGCAGAAAAACCGAGTGAGAGAGAGAGTGTGTGTGTGTGAGAGAGAGAGAGAGAGAGAGACGTGTGGCCGCGCGAAACGTCGATGTTCGTCATTCGTTCGAGATTCGTGTCGTCGTTACTTGAAACCGGCGGCGGACGATCGAAACGCGCTCCAAGTGTTCCTCTCCGCCCAAAATCCGTCCCGACGCGTCACGATGGGTCTGCTGCTTCCTAATGCATATATCGCTCGCCGGAGCCGCGCGATATGTGTGAGAAACGAAAAGAGAGATTAAAAAATTTTCCTAGGTTTTAGTAAGTCTTTTCCCTTGCGAAGAAACGATACAACACTGCCTCCGCTCGCGCTGCTGCGACCGCAGCTTCGTTTTCTCTTCTTCTTCTTCTTCTTCTTTTTTTACCCTTCTTCCTCTCATTCCCGCTATGCAATAGAAAATTTGTATTCGTATCAAAAAGTGGGCGTCTCGCGCTTTTAAGAAAAAACGTCTATGCGCTTTCGGTATCGGAGAAACCGAATCGAGTGCCGGCGCGCATCGCGACGGTGTCCTCTCCTCTCTTGTCCCACGTTCTGACCTCGCGTTTGCATCTTTCTAGTCTCTGCCTCGAATACGTACCGCAATTTTATCCCGCAACGCGATCTTCGTGGCCGTAATCGCGCACAAAAGGGAACGACTGCGGAATTACTTTCCTCTTCGAACTCTGTACGCAGAAAACGCAGGACTAAAGCTAGACACGCAACAACAAGTGACTTCTAACTCGACGTTATCTTAACGATTCAGCTCTCGCGAATAAAATCCCCACGTTCTTCCATCCTTTTCGCGTGTCAAAAAGCTCGACAAACACTTTGCGCTTTTCAAAAAGTCATTAGAATTACGAAACATTGTAAAACATTCGAATCTTTCGTGCCGTTCGTTGTGCACAAACACTTTGCGAGGAAGAGATTCCGTGCACGAGCAGGCGTGAACGTTCAGCTCGAACGTGCCGTTGTACCGATCGTTCGAAACTAAAAGGGTCACTCGCGACCTCGTAGGCAATTCTCAACGACGAAGATCGCGCTCCGGCATTTTGCGCGTTCACGCCCGAAACGTGGGACGCGCTCGCGCCGAGCGCTGGCCTCGAAACAACCGAGATTATAGAAATATTGTCGCCTCGTGAAAAAGAAAAACGTCACCTACGCGCGCCAACAAAAGCCTTGGCTCGTTCTCGCCTCGCACACGTTCGTAATGACCAAAAAATATATGTATATATAATATATTATTCCTTATATAATTATATCGCTCCTTAGTTAAGTATAGTGTTTAAATAGTAGATAATAAGTTTTTTTTTTCATTTTGCATTAGGTAGTTTTACACTCGCAGAGGAAAAAAATATGCTCGTCGCGTCGGCGTCTTTTTGTTCCATCGTTTGACCTTTCGTCGTCGTCCACCGATTGATAGCGTGGTTTAATTAATAATCGTAATTAATAATCATCGAACGGCTAACATCTCGCGCGTCGCGCGCGCCCGCGCGCGCGTCGCAACGCGCCGCGGCCGAGAGCCTCCTTTCGACGGCCGGGACGCAACCGGACGCTCCCTCCCGGCGCGGATCTTCGCGGCTCCACCGTACAGAAAGTTCACATTGGCGCGAAATGAATAACCCGCGGCGCGATTCTGCGTGAAGCTCCTTCGCGAGATCTCGGCCGCGCCGCTGAGACGACGCGTGCTCGCGCGCAACGTCTAAGTATCTCGTTATGTTCCCCATTTTTGTATACTCGCGTATATGCGCTCGCGCTCGGGTGCGCGATGTGTGTATGTGTGTGTGTGTGTGTGTAAATGTGTGCGTGTGTATGTGTCGAGAGAGAAAGAGAATCTCGTGGAATGTCGGGCTTGTAGAAACGCGGTCAGAATGGGTCCTTGCGTCTGCTAAAGCGTGTCGCGTATGAATACTCAGCACGATGAACATGTCGCGTGTGTCTTTTTTTTTATCCGTTACGTTACTCGGTATACTCCGGTGCGAGGAGCGGTATCCTCGCCGTAAAGTCGAAAGGGTTCTCTCCTGCACACGCGCCTTACAATATACACACCGGGTTTGTCGGCCGCGCGGCACGTGCCGTGGGGCCAGCCGGACGCGGGTTCATACGGCGGGTTCATGCGCGCTTATACTGGCGGAATCGCAGTGGGTTCGCGGTTGGTTGTGCCTAGCATTTATGCATCGCCACTTTTTGTTCTCCCCTTCTTGCACTGTCTTGGACTTGCCTCGCAACGTTCGAGGTCTCTTCCGATCGGAATAGAAAGGTCGTGTGGGGGAGGGGGGGCGGGGGGGTTCGTGGGATAATCGAGGGTGTCTATCGCGTCGGCGACGGTATTTGAGGATTCCCTTCGTCCCTCGTGCTCGAAACGATTATTCGGCGCGCGAGGAGTCTCCTGTGTCGGACTCCTCTTAACATCGTCCCTCTCGCCCGACACGTGGGGGCGAGATCGGGAGGACAGGGGGTGGGGGGGGGGCGGGGGTAAATTGAGCGAGCGCGAAGGGAAACCCCGTTTCGCGGCGCGCAACAACGAGAAGGCGCACGGGGGGTTCGGTGCGTGTGAGAGATCTGGGCGGGAATGTGGGCTTACTGTATATGGGTCTTTTCTTTTGTTTTACTGTACTTCGTAACTGTATACTTTACTCATAACTGATACTGACTTTCGTCTACTCTACGGAGTCCTCCATGCTGAGCGCGGCGCCGCGCTGCTCCGCCGCCGCCGCCGCCGCCGCCGCCGCCGCCGGCTGCTGGCTGTTAGTCGGCTCGCCGGATCTGCTGCTCGCGGTGTTGTAGCCCCTCTGCAGTTGCACGACCAGCCCGCTCACGGCAGCGTATTCCTTTTGTTGTTGCTGCGGCTGAGTCTTCTGGCTCGAATGATCTACTATAAGCTTACTATCACAGGCACTTTTTTTGTCAGTTGACGCGGCGTAGAGGTTGTGTAAGTCCGGGTAGTGGTTCAGCTGTGGTTGCTGCTGCTGCTGCTGCTGTTGCAAGCTCAGAGGCTGCTTCCGGTCGCGATCCTCTTGGCCGCCGTTGTGAACCTCGCGCTCTCTGCTGCTGCGATCGATCCTCGAGTCACGCGTGCTGTCCTCGTCCCTGCTACCCGCTCGGGAGATGGACAGAGGCGTCGGCGGTGACGTCAGCCGATCGCTGCCGTCCTCCGTGCGACCTCTCTCCGACGGTGAGGGGCTGAGATCGACCGTGGGCACGCGCTCCGGTCTCTCTGGCACCATCCTGCCCGTTGGTCCTCGATAACTCTCGTCCTCGCTACTGTCCTGCGCCATTCGCGGCAGCGGGGTCCTCCTCGAGTTTCTGCAGAGCTGGTCGATCAGTGTCTTGCTGCTCATCGTTTCCGGATGTTGCGACGACGACTGCTGCTGCTGCTGGCTTCTCGCCTCCGCTATCGCCCGCTGGTCCCTTGGAATGCCTGTCTCGAGGCTCGACCTGATCAGATTGTCCAGGAAACTGCCGTTCGCCCCGGGCCCGTCGTAGATGCTCTCCACTATGTCGCGCGGCGCCTTCGCCATCGAGGCGCTTCGGGAGTTGGAAGTTCCGGCAGCGTCCGCCGTCCCTGACACGCCAACCCCGTCTCGGTCTCGCTGGTGCTGTTGCTGTACCATCGTGGCGTTTCGTTGTTGCTCCTGCAATCCGCGCATTCTCTGCGACGCGAAATATTGTTCCGGAAGGATCGGCACGTTCGGCGCGCCACCCATGAAGGGGGAGGGCATGAAGGGCGTCGGGTTCCAGAAGTTGAAGGGTCCGAATGGCAGGTGGGGCATGCCCTCCATGAACGGAGGCATTTTCAGTCCGTTCGGACCGGGTATACCGCCGGGCGGTGTGAACGGTTTCTGCGACTTGAGCTGCGGCTTCTTGTCGACGCCAGCGGCGCCCGGCCGCATCGCCGCCGCGGCCGCCGCCGCCGCCGCTGCCGCCGCCGTCGTCGTCGCGGTCTCCTTCGACTTGTCGTCCGGTTGCTTCTGGTCCCTGCGGAACAAGAGAAGCTAAAGTTACAACATTTTTATCATAATTTACGATTACATTGCGAGACATGTTCGTGTGTCACGTGGACGTTGTATCGATCGCCAACGATATGCGAATTATTTGTAACATCCACAGGTGAAAGAACGAAAAGAAGGAATAAGGTGGAAAAAGTCTTTTATCGGAACAATTAATCGACTTACCTCTTGCGCGGCCTCATGAGATGCCGCTCCTTGACTTTGTACTCAAGGGTGGAGTGCGGAACTCCGTAAAAGCTGCCAGCGCGATGCACGCTCATTTCGCCGCGCTGAACTGCGCGTACCGCCTCGACGAGGCTGTCCCTGTCGTAGTTCCTATATTTGCCGCGCTTAGGTCTGGTGCCCTTGCCGCCGGTGCCCGGCTTCGATTTATTCGCCTCCTGCGACTGCTGCTTGCTTTGCTGCTGTTGCTGCGCCGACGATTGCTGTTGCGGTGGCTGCGGAGGTGTGTAACGACCTCTCTTGAACGGACTCGGGTCAGTCATCATGGCCTGCTGCGACGAAACCACGCCGCTCGGTATGCCGGCCGCGCTGGGCGTCTGGCCCTCTTGGAACTTGACGCTGATACTCTTGGCGATGACGTCGCGGAAATTAACGGCCACCGCTTTGCCCACCAGCGAATTCGTGGGGCTGCTGGTGCCGGAGAACGCTGGACTAGCTCGCTCCAGGAGACCCGGACTCGAGGCGGCAGTCGCGAAGCTCTGGGCGAACGCGGCGGAAGTCGGCTCGCCGTTCTTGCTGGAACAGCCCGGCGTGCTGGCGGGCTTGTAGGACGGAATCTTCAGTATCGCTCTGCCCTGAGCGCTGTCGCTGGCCTCTTCCTCGATGTTAGGATTGAAGTCGTCATTCGTTATGGGCGCGCGCTGCTGCTGCGACTGCGTCTGCTGATGCGCGGCGAGGGGATGGTGCTGATGGTGATGCGGCTGCGACTGGTCTCCGTTCACGTTCTTGTTCAGCCTCTTGTCCTCGCACATCAGCTTCCTCATCACTTCGGGTATGCGATAGTCTCGCGTATCCATGCCTACGTCATTATTACAAAGCTCTATAGTAGAGATTCATCGACCTTGCTAGTAAACCAATATAATTCTGCAAGATTGTGCTAAAACTTTCGCAATTGTCATTTTTCACTTCAAGTTTGTATCAAACAAAAATTTGTTAAACTTGATATTTTACAACGTCGTATAAAAAACGTGCCTGCGCGCGAAAGATTTTTGGAGGAAACATTAACGTTTTATTTTTACTCGAGTGTTTGTCATAATTTCAAATACGGACGTAAGCTATTCAAATGCAATTGCAGTCTTCAAAGGCAGAGAAAATATCGGCGAGCTGATTAACTAGGGCCTGGCTTCTATCGATTCCAGAAGTCCTATTGTGGCGTAATACACTTTTCGGCTTTCCTCTCTTGACGCAGATTGGTCGGTCAGTCAATGAACAAAATAAACGAATGCTTATTGGAAATGTCCCGAATCCCGAGTATCAGCGTGTTGCGCCGAATTGTACAGCAAGTAAATTTCGCACGTGTGTAATCGCGCACTACATTGATAAAACGTAAATAAAATTGATTACTTGGAATTTTAGAAATATTTAACTTATTAAGAGTTTAATTGTAACCGAAACGTGTCATCCAAACTGCGCTGCAATTCTCAGATAAAAGTGACGGATAAACTTTGTGACTAACGGAGCTTTTAAGCTACTCTCGCTGTCATTTCGCGATACTAAGGAATTTAGGGGATTTTACCTAACGGTGCAGCGGCAGCCAACATCTTTTGAATATAGGGACCGATGTTCGCGTGTTCGAGTCCCGGCCACTCGGCGCCTGTCTCGTGTCCCCGTTGCAGCAGGTTCCTGAGGGAATCGCCACCGGTCCCCTCGAGCGTGGAAAACCTCACGAGATCCTCCAACGAGAGCAGAGGCTTCAGCAGGGCCTTCTCAACTTCCTTCTCCTCTTCCGCGCCGGATAATTCTTTGTCGTCCACCTGTTAAAAACATCTATTCTAGCGTTTTCTGCACACTCGTCGCTTACGAAAAAGCATCTAAATTGCAGATTACAGTCAAGTTGTCCTCTCGAGGAAAGTTAAAATGGAAGCTTCCACTCCGTCTCCGGAGACGTGACTAGAAGCATTGCTTTTCTCGTCATCGACAGTCATTAAGCAATCATTGCTGCTGATAAATGACAACTCCTTGTTCGAGAGTGCTTCGTCGAGAGGTGTGTATGTACGTGTGTCCGGAGAGTACGTGTACTTGTATCGTGTGTAGGTGTCAATTGTCCATGTAAATATATACGAAGTGTTTCCCGTAAAGTGACCGCATTGCATATTTTTAAAAAAATATCAAAATGGAGAAGAAACGTAATGCGGGAAGAGGCGCTTTAGCTTTGAGAACGTCGCACAGACGGATTTTATGTAAAAGGAATCACGCGTCTGTTTTAACTATTTTGAGATGACTTTTTGAGAATCTTGAGAGGTGTCGCTTTAAAACTTCTTTGCGAATCTTGATACTCGGCTAATTTTATCACCAAAGAAAAAGCCAAGTCACGCACACACACACACACACACGCAGGGGCTGCAATTAATAGTACCCCTTATTTCTATCCCTGCCACCCAACGCTTGTTGTACTACATTCAATATATTCAATTGAGTCACTTTACGCAAAACTACTCGGTACATATATCTCCAACGAATGTAGAATAGCTAAGCGCCATGCGGGAGAGCTGCTAATCAGTAAATGGTATTTTCGTAAGCAGCGGCAAGTGTTTTACAGGGGAGGAAACGTTCTCGATGCTCTCGGCGGTCGCCCGGCACGATAATCGCGACCGCTGCTTTCCCCCCGCTAGTCCTCGGTAGAAGGAAAAGAGGGCGGAATTTTGCGCAGAGAAAAGCTTATCTTCGGCGTGCGTTTCGACGAGATACGCCGGAATTCAAGTGCAGAGATACCACTCGGGACTCGTTCAAGGCGCATGCATTGCACTAAAAGTGAAGCAACAGTCCTCTATGATGGCCGCTACATACATATAAACGCGCGGTACGCGATCGCAGGCACGAAATGCAGGCACGAAAAATGAGACTTTAACCGTTCTCGTGCATAGACCGTGCTTGCGAGCTCGGCAAGTTATACCGTAAAATAGCGCCTCTTAGTGTTCATGCTGAGGCGAAGTTCGGCCGGCAGACGATTTTAAGTAGCGACTATTACGACCAACAGACCGTACGGATGCAGATACAATTTTTAGAAGAGTACAATACGGTTAAACGCAATGCAAAATATTTTCCCGGCTAAGGAAACGATTCGTACTACATGGCGAACACTACGAATTTTATCCCGCAAAATTTCACGATAGTGTCCTCCGGCCTCAGTTCTTTCCGATAAAAATGTACTCCCAAGTTCTAAATAGAATAAAAACTTGGGCCACGCGATACCGTCTCGATTGAAAAATTCCCAGATACTTCAACGTCTCATCGATGTCTCGTTGTTACCGAGCCACGATCGTTTCCCGTACGCGCGCTCAGCGAAATTAATCGCGATCGGATCGAGAATCAAGGCAAAAGACACTATCGGGTGATGAGGATTAAATCGGGCCGCCGCGTTTAATCTGCCGTAATCTTCGATCGCGCGACTGTTTCACGGATAGCGGGCGCATTCATACTGAAATTGTGATCCGCCCGTATCAAAACGGTTATTCGATCGGACGTCTCTATGCGGGGGATTGTATGCGCGACACACATCGAGGATGCAGAGTGTCGAGGTCCAGAAGCGTACATCGACGGATTCCGCGGTGCGACTAGGGGCACCCGTAAGGAACGAAAGCAAGATCGAGCCCGGACAAATCCTCCTTCCGTCTCGACACGACCTTCCCAAAAACTTACCTCGAATCTTGCAACCTCGCGGACACCAAGTTGCCGTGTGTTAAACTACAAATAGTGAGATAAAAAAAGTTAAACAGCCCATGCAAAAGAACACTGGACACTACGGAGCACCACGGCGACCGGTACGGAGCCGCGTAGACCATCGGTCTCCTTCCTTCAACGCGATCAAACGCACAGTTGCCGTCAACGTTCTTCGCACCAGGTCGATATTCCTTCATCTGCCCAATTGGCCAACAACGCGGGACATTGAGAAAGAGTATTCTCTCCTCTCACTATTTCTCCCTCGAGAATTATTTGTCAATCTGAGAATGTCCTCCGAGTAAAAGTCGAAGGAGGAAAAGCGAAATGACCGATGCATAAAATCCGCATTGTTTATTCAACATCGAAACTTGATTCGACAATTCTTTTCGTCGAGAAGCTTCTATATCATTTTATACATTGAGCGCAGAGTTTGGCAGAAATTTAGGACCAACGTATATCCAGAAATGCAGCTACTTCGAGATTAACTGAGGTTAAATGAAATTACGATCGCAGAAATTTTCTGCTCGACCGAGTCCGAATTGGGCGACTATAGGCGCGTCGTTTAGCGATACAAGACACATTCGGTCCACGCGAGATCCACGATCGCCGTGCCAGAGGTATGTTTTGGGGAAGCTTCATTCGTTCTTCCTAACCAAAACCACACTTAGGTACAAATGAACGGTATATATTCGCGAATTTTCCCGGCGAGATTTCCCTCGTGCATCGTTCGGTTTCCCACCCTTCCACGTTTCTCTGCATGGTAATCGGCCTATTTTGCCACGTAAATCATGAAGACTTATCACTCGCACGCGGACGATTCAAGTCGGAAAACATCGTACATGATCTCTCAAGTGTCTGACAGTATTCTATAACGTTGATCAATGCTTTTGGAAATTGTAATTATAATTTTATACTTTCGAGAGAGATAATTAAGATCAGATTTCTTTACATGTCGTTCCTCCTCGTGAATTTTTACATTTTGAAGAACACCCTTCTTCGACTATCGACACGTACTGCAAATTTATACGAAACTTGGCTCATAGATATTTATAATTATCACTGCAATTTGCCCAAGGACAAATAACTGTGACGAGTTTTATCTATAAAATCGTTAAGCAATCTGATATCAGTTTTTCTAACGGAAATCTAATCAGATCTGTCTATTTTCTTATACCTTTCGTCGTGTTATACCATAATCGACGTGCAGATATTGTGACATATCGACTAAAAGTCCAATTACTTTTTCGCGATGCTTTAATATTTGCAATTTATTGGCCGATATAAATCCGCGATGTAATTTGCAAAATCAAAATAACGTATAAACAACGTTGGAGATCGTCAAGGCGGTGGATCACGGACACGAGATACGCGGCGGTATCGATCATCGACATCCCGCGATTATTCGAAACGAGTCAACGCAACAACCGCCGAAATCACTCTGTCGCGCCATCGACTCGTTTCCGGATGAGAAACATCGGACATCGATACCGGAAACGCCGGAGATAAAAAGAAGATACACGACGGAGCATCCTCGCTTCGGCGCGTCGCATCATTTCCCTCACGAGATTCCCCAGTCGCCGTCTATGCCAATTTGCGTCCTCGGCTTCTCTACCCGACACGCGTGAAAGACCGACGAGATTTGGACTCGGCACGTGTCGCTGGTACGTTTCCACTCCCTCTGCATCTCGCCCACTCTCTCGCTCTCCCTTTGCTCCCTTCTTTCCTTCTCGCTCTTTTTCCCTCTTTCTCTCTTCCTTTCTCTCTCTCTCTTTCTCTCGCTCTCTTTCTCTCTAGACTTCTAACTATCTTCTGCTGTCTGTCCCCAAAACCTACCTCGTCCACTTGCGGGGGCGGAGTGGTCGCGGAGGCGTTTTGGGTCGTATTTGGTGGTGTTGTAGTAGTAGTAGTGGTGGTGGTGGTGGTGGTGATGGTGGTGGTGGTGGTGGCTGGGGCGCCGGGCTCGTGAGGGTGTGAATGGGTGCTAGTCAGGGACGCGTCCCTTTCGCGCTCCATCGCGAGCTTGTAGACCTTGTTGCGCAGAGTGCTACGCGGTATCCCGTAGATGACCGCCGCCCTCCGCGTGCCGAGCTTGCCGCTCTGGATGTCCCTGAGGGCGGCCTGCAGCTCCTCCTCGGTGTAAGTCCTCCTGCCGCCCCCGGCACCCACCACTGGGACACCACCGACGCCTGCCGCAGCCGCCGCCGCTGCCGCCGCCGCCGCCGCCGCGGTCACAACCGGTCCGGTCATTCGCGGTTTCGCGCGGTAACACGAGCTGAAACAGCGTTAATCAACGTTATATCGGGGGCCAGCTGATGGTGTTTTTGGCCGCGACGCCACCCAGCGTCGAAACGCAATTTCGGGAAATAGCGTGTATGCAGGCGCGTATGGAAATGAGCTACCGAATAAAATGGTCGGCGAGCACGGGTTCGCTTCGTACACCGGCGTCTCCCGAGCCCTCGCAGTGCGCTGCGAATATCTGTCAAGTATTGAGAGACGTCAATGGAAACGGAAACAATTTGTTGGAATTCACGTTGCTTGTCAATTGCACTTTGTCGTAGGAAAACTTATTTTTGTGCCCCCCCCGCTCGAGTTTTTCCATCTCGCTGCCCCGACTCCTAAGATAGCTTCTATAACTATCCGTCAGTCATCGTATCAGAGATCTCGTTTATCCTGTCGTATACTAATGTCGGAAAATTAATTTTAGTTTCCAAAACGGCGCATGTAAACTGGAGGAAGAGGTAACGTATTAAAAAATGCTACATGGCTCCCGGAGAGGAAAAATCAATGTTACATAAAGCAGTTCGCGTTCGCCGTTCTTCTGATTTCCTTTCATCGGTAAAACGGGGGGAAAAAAGGAAAAATGAAATATTTCACCGAGAGTTTCCGTTTGCGTTCTCTTTAAAATTGTTATGAAAGAGAGCCGCTGCGTCTGGTTGAGACACAGAATATGAAACATTCAAACAGACAAACATTGCGAACGAGCAAGTAGCCAAGAGACGGTTTGATATAATCGATTGGCCAATAGATGCGCGTTCGATACTCGCTCAAGCCTCGTATGTACGTAACAAAGTCAGATTATTCGCCATTTCTCGCAGTGCGAGCTCACGTGTATCCACGTTTCCTAAACTAACTCAAGAGGCGACCCGCATCAAATGGCCACGTGGCCGTTCCGACGCCTGCACGTGTTTGACGTCGTGCCAATGGCGAATTGCGAATCCGTACGGCTTTGATCCTGGCTCCGGGGGACATCGAGCCATGCAAATTAAGCTTTTCAAACGAACAGACTGAAAAACGCGTTAACACGGCAATTTCGCATATTGCATGAAATCGATTTCCGGCCGGAATAAAAAAACAACCGCATTACACATTCGAGCATTTAAGCTTCTTTAAATATGTAATTCATTTACATAAATATCATTTCGCAGCGCGATTTATACGCGTGTCATGCGAACGAGATTTATCTATGCAAAGATGAAAATTAAAATAATGCACCGGTTAAATTGCCAGAAGGCACAAGTCGTGTATTAATAATTTTAATATTTGTCCGCGGGAATTTTCTTTTTATTGCCGCCATAAGTTTTCGCGTCGCTACATCGCCATTTCCCGCATCGCATTATGTCCGCGAGGCAAATCTTGTTGCAGCAAATTATCCTCAGGTGTCTGCGAAAGCGTTCATTACATATTCGTTTCTTGAACAAAAATCTTATCCCATCGAACTGCATACGGAGAAAAAGACAAACAACTAATGCAATGTAGGAAATTAATAATCGACACACCTGTCAACTTTTAATTAAAGAAATTTATTGCGAAAAACATTACCTCAGCCGGGGTTTCAAGCCTGGACCTCCCTACACTCTAGGCGGGCGTTTTTCGCAATAAATTTTCTGTATTATTAAAGATACCAGGTATGGTCAAGAAAACACTGACGTTGTTAATGACCGCTGGCGACATTGAAGAATTCTGATTAGGAAGCTACCTAAGTTTAAGCGACGTTGGTGAAACCAGGCCTACTATGACCTAATTATGACAAACAATTAAACAGCATGGGTTCAAAGTGTGCCTTTAACCATCGACGCCCGTCACCGGCTATCGAAATAATGACGCAAACGTGACATCAACTTAATGAAAATTTAAAGACAGCGTAAAAGACATTTTTATAAAAAAAAACATTAAAAAATCTCGGCTCTATTTCCGAGGGACGACACGTTCCCTCGATCGTTTCCAATATCGTCCAATTACCTCGTACGCCGCGTACGAGGGGCAAGTATATATTTTCGGTGCGAGAGCATCCGGTAATATTTCGCGCTCGCACAAAAGAAGGCGACGTGGAGCGCGAGGAGCGATGGATATCGGGTCGGTGTAATTTGTCACGGAGCGCAACGATAAGATTAGGCGTAAGAAATCATCGCGCTCCCACCCCCGCTCGCACCGTACGAGCCTCCCCCCCCCCCCTCGCGAGTTCGTCGACCTGTTCGCCGCTGATAAAAGTGCATTTCGTCCGACGCTGGCCTCCCGGATAGGTCCCGCTACGTCAGTAGTCATCGACCGGCGCTGATTTATCTGCGATTTTTGTTTGTCGACTCGTCTGCGGTTTCACGCGACGATACGCGGCAGCTACGCCGGGCGTCGTCGGAAACTCGGTCGGCGCGCGCGTTTCCATGTGCGTTTCAGGTTCAACGTTCCTCGAGCAATGTCGTCGCGCGTAATTTCGAAGAGAGAACGGTATCCGCGTACGCCGAATAAAACGACGGTGCGCGTATCTGACCGCAAGGAATTTAGACTTTATCATCGGCCGCCGGCGCGTTTCCGTAAAAACACGTCGTCGCGACGTGCCGGACTTCTTATCGCACACCTCCGCGACGGAAACATCGTATCGCGCATTATATTTTCAATGTAACGCGGCAATTTGTGTCAAGAACGAATTCCTCGACTTGAGAGGCGGATTTATCTCGACGCGACAATGCAAAGTCTCGCGGGCACGCGGGAGATCTTCGGGTAAACCCGCTGAATGCGAACAAGTGGAAAAATTGATGTCTTCAATGTCGACGTATTTACAGATGCCGGAAACCGAGGTTCTATGATCGAACCGGACGGTTCGGTTTAGTAAATTCTCGCATAAATCACGGGGCTCACGCAATCGCGAACCAGATAGTCGTAATCTTGTCCTTCGCAGCGGCGTCAATATCTCTTTGGCCAGCGAACCTTCTCCAAAGCCTTCTACGAACCGGTTTTACTTCAGTGCCCGGTGTCTGGTTTTATTGCAGCTCGCCTATTTTTCAGTATCGCGGCCGCGCAAGTGCGAACCGCACGTCTAATTTCGTTTCTACGCGGCTACTTGCCGTAAGAAGACACGCTCTTAAATCTGACCGGTCGGCTCTTCTCGTATTAAATCTCCGAGAAATTTAATTCGTGTTTTCAGTCTGCCGCTTCAAAATGTAAAACAGCTATAATGTCTTATTAAGATTAATACAATGTCACGGGAAAATATTTTAAGTAATTAAGCTCCCTCTGGTATTTGGCACAAAAAGTTTCAGCCCCGTACGGACAGGCCTGCATAAAAAAATTGAAGATCGCGCCATAGAAGGGCAAACGGCAGTTGAGCTCAAAGAAAAGTATGAAATTAGTCAAACTAGTTTAGCTACGCAATACCAGTTTATAGACGACGCTAAGTACCTTGAGGCTTGTCTACTTTGTAGCACCAAAGTGAAGTGGAAAAACTTGGCGAGCTTAGGTCGCATGAATTTAATAGGTATATACGCTACGACTGTATTAACGGTCTAACAACCTACATAATTTTCGCTCCACTTGAAATTTCTTACGTAATCGCGTAAACAATGATTAAGTTTTCATACGACGCCCTTATTACGAACAAAGATCTCCACAATTAGTATCGCTCAAGTATACAGTAATCTGGATTGTTTTTCAATGAACCGCGTTATAGCGCGAGTCGGGTCCAAATGCAAAGGAAGGTGCGAGCGAGATTGCCGCCTTACGTACTCCTCCATTCACACTCATCTAATGAATTCACACTGCACGGGGTGTGTCTTGATCGGAACAATTCCCGAGAATACAGAAATCACCGGCACTTTCTATGAATTTTTCATGCAATACACGAATTTAGTTTCATCGAAAATTCGATAAACCCGCGCCTTTTCTCTCGCAACATTTAAATATTCGATCCTGAATTCCTCTCGAGAAAAGTGACGGGTGTAATGAATTATTTGAATAGGCGCATTAGTGCAGCACTTTTTCTTTATTTTTCGACACAATTCTAAAGGCCTGCGTCCACGATGTTAGAACTTGGACCAAGTTCTAGCGTCGTGAACACAGGCCTTAAGGCTACATCCCTGCAGATCTGCTAAGCCCAAGATGTAGATCCACGCGAAAATCCAAACATCCGCGCTCCAATCTAAATTAGGCTTTAATTTCGACTCGACGGTTTCGTCGGCGGTCCTATCTTATCGCTAATTACGCAGTCGCGTACGCGTCGGCGCGAACTTCTCTCTCGCCTCTTTCTTTTCCCTCCCCCTCCGAACTTTCTTCCCTCTTCGCTCGCTCGTTCTCCGTCCCGCTCCTTCGCTTTCTCTTTCTCGCATTCCAGTCTCCCCTTTGCGCTTCTTCATTACGCGCCGCGACATACATGAGGTACTCCGCATCTTCGATATGTCAGGAGGTGCAGATTACGGTGGACTAATAATAGACGATGATAAAAATTTGACGCGCAAAATGTTCCGCGGGGGAAAACAGCGAAAACATGGGGGCAACGTACGCCGCCAACAATCTGGCGCGCTCGATTCGCTCAAGTTACCGATCTTTTTCACTTTTCGCGAACCGTACAGCGGAGATAAAAATTGACATTCGACAATAATTCAAGAGTATAAAAGACTTCCAAGATAAAATTTGTCGTCATCTTTGTCAACCGTTCACACGGCATGCCATGTTCTATTCTGTAAGTTCTTAGGATTCTAATAATGGTAAAAAAAAATTGGATTTTCAATATTCAACTTGAAGCTTCTTTCCAGGTTAAATACAAATTTCACTAAATCTAATATTCGTCTGTTACCAGAATTCTGACACAAAGTGGTACGCGAAAGAAAACTGTATAAATGCCATATTTTCATAACTAACCCGTCTCGTAGCGTCTTGATGAAAGAGGCGGAATAAAATATGTATGAAACTTTTCCCTTTGTTGTCATTTATTTAGGCGTCTGGGTAGGTTTACAAAATTTGCTCCATCATGTTTCGTATTCGAGACCACAACCGAGTTGCATCGATTCTGTGAAACGGACTGCTTAAATATTTATCGAGGTACGTACCGCAGACGTATAGCAGTTTAAAGCTCAAAGGGTTGCAAAGTTCAAGCAACTCGTCGGTATTATTACGGTTTGGAGGATACCGGCTGCTTACCGCAATCGCACAAACGTATTACAACGAAATTTTTTCGTACAGTTTAAAACACTGAAGCATGATACATTAAACATTTACGTGTGAGAACCATGCAATAAGCGGCCCGCCCAGTTGTGACAGTTTAATCAAAGAACGTATTATTCTTTTTACGTCACGGCAAAAAATGTATTACGCCATTCTCGTCGCGAAGAAAATATCTCTACAAACTTGAACTTTATATTTCGTAAAGCAATTGCAATTTCCAACAAATTAATTTTCACCATTCTTCGCAATAATATATATTTATGCGGAGACTGGCAGAAATTCTCCGTTTATTCCTTTATAATTATTTGCTCAATTAAAAAAGGTGGAAAGACGCAAATGTTAAAACCACAAAATTATTTATCTCTCTAATCCAGTAACATTTTAAAAGGTAGATGGAAAAATGATCACACAGATTAAATGTGATGAAGATTATTAAATATTTTCCTGAGATAACCTACTGCGACATCGATCATAATTGATTATCAATTGTTTAAGAACGCATTATTGTGAACAATGACACGTGTGAATGAAGATTATATCCAACATCGCGAAGAAAGTATTAAATTTTTGTGAGCACATCAGTCGCGAGATGAGAAATCATTTTTTCGAGTTAATGCAATGGGAGTTGACGGTTTGCCGAATCTGTAATACGACTTTATTTATCCCGACGCATAAATTTTTCGCAAGCCATTGGAATTATCATTATTTCACTGCAGCAGCCAAGACGATAGCCAAGAATCGCGGGGAAAACATCGCGCCCATGCAGAAAATGAAGACTCGTTCGCGGCACCGAACCATTTAATTAAACAATCATAATAAAATGTTTTGTCCTATGCAATTATTAATTTGTTATGCAAATCAGTAAAAAAAACACGTTTCATTGATTTCAGATTATTAGTAATTTTATAAGTTTTGCAATATCTTCGCGCGTTCGTATTTGTATTAATTTTACAGCGTTATCTTCCCTCCAGAGAATACAGCATGCATATCTAACGCGTCTAGTACAATCGAATGTTCGCAATAGTATTATTACGATCGCCTCAATAGAACCTCCAAGTTCACCTAACGAACTTGAGCTTCGCTGCGATCCTAGGCTCTGATAACCGCAGCTCTTTATCAACAACCCTGTTTATCTTTTACTGTAATTATAGCACAGCGACTTATAAATTACACACACACACAATGCAACACAAACGTGAGAACCATTTAATGACACGTCCGACAAAGGTGTTTTTTTTTTAAGTGAAAACGATAGCTTTGATAATTGTAAGTAAAAAAACGTAATATTTTTTGTTCCATCACAAATCGATTAAGACGAAGGAGAGGAAGAGAGAGACGTCTAAGATTCGAATTGTATTGCACGAATTGGCGATTTTATTCCGCATATTTATCCAGATAAATCTGAAAATGCAGCACACGACCGCGAACTCGATCAGCCCGCACCAGTGTCGAGCGAACGATACGATTCCCCTCTGCCGTTGTCGCGCATGACGTCTTTACGAGGGAGATAAATCACGGTTATGCCCGGCCGCGTGATTGGCACCTAATTGCGACGGCATTCCGGATCGACTGGCTGTCAGTTTCGCGATTTTCGAAAGTCGTTCGCCGGCGGTGTTTTAATCGACGCCTTATCGAAACGCCCGCCCGGCCGGCCCGGCTTAAACGGCCACTCGATCACGAAGAACGTTCGCTACGGAATGCGATCACGGATCGTATTCTTTTTTTTCCCCTCCCTCCCACACTGGCGTACGGAATGCACGCTGGTATCGGTGACTATACGCCTCGAGATGCAAAGCGAGTTGCGCGATAACGCCGAAACGATGCCGCATTGTCGTTGACGAACGACAATTTTTTTCCAGCGTGTGGGAAAGAACGATCTCCCGTCGGAGCCAAATATTCACGCGAGTTTTTAAGCCTGTCCTTCTCGTCTCGCTTTCCTCAGTTTCTGTTCTAACGCGCACTTATAGCTTTATCAGCCTTTTGCGCTTATCGCTTGAAATGTAGAGTTGAAATAGTTGTTATTATACGTTTATCGCTTTAACACTTTAGCATTACCATGTCAAGTTAAGTTTGTTAAAGGATAAAAGTAAAAGAATAAAATTACGAGGTATCAAATAAAACAATTTAATTGAACGCATCAAATTTCGATGTGATTCGAATCTTTTCAGCTTGTTCCAGCTTTCATCTCTGTGCTCTGTAGCAGCTTGATTAGAACTGCCTTGTGAATAATTTTTGCTTGCATTTTAATTCTATTTGTCACACCGACAAGTTAAATACGAGCGTGTTGCTTTTTAATAACGCACAGTATAGATCTATAATTTGAATTAAACACTACGTCTGACGCGTAGCATTGATTTACTTATTCTGGCCAATCGATTTACTTCTTCGGACTAATCGGTACAGACCGTCACTTGGTACGAAACTTGCTACATTGTCTCATTAATTAAAGAGTGTTGAGAAATTACTTACTTGAGGATAGTCTTGGGATCGATGCCTGTCGGCATTCTCAGAGGTATTTTCTGTTGCTCCAGTAGAGATATGTTGTTGTCCTGAACAAACAAATGGATAATAGTATTAAAAATCGTCGAGACGGGAGTGACTTAAATAAACAAATAACTAATATTACGCAAGCGTACAGCCTAGTTACTTAGACGTTAGCGTTAGTCACTCAGTAATACGACATAGGAAGCACTAATAAAACACTATGTGAGAGGAATTATTGTTCAGCAATATATGAAATGGCGATCGTCGCGCAAATAATGACCGTATCGTGTCAGCCGGCGAAAAAAGTATGAATAATAGTTGCGGATAATTTGCACAGCGTTCGCAGTCGACTTCGCTCATTGCGTGATTCTTCATCGAGCACTTGGCGAACACCGCGCAACGCACGATATCGAGTCTTCGTCGCGAGTTCAACTCGGCCGAATCAACTCGGAGCGAGCGCTGCGAGAGTAACGACGAAGACGATAATGAGAAAGACCGCGGCGTTGCCACGCGGTAGAATCAGTGGAGCATCGAACTTACCTGAGAATTTCTGGGTTTGGCCGAGAGATCGAGCGGTTGATCGGCCGCCGCGCCGCTGTCCTGATGGGTCTGCACCCCAACGAGGGGCGCCTCCCTCGGCGGTAAGCACCACTGGGGCAGCAAGGTGGGGTAAGTGCCGCTGAGGGCGGCGGCGACCACGGACGCCGCCATCGGGTCCACCTGGACCGACATCGGTGACTCCGCCGATCGCGAGCTGCTGCTACTGTCGCTCTGCGGGCTCTGCGGGGCATAACACGGAGGGACGTGTCATCCCGGCTCGCGCGATACCAAAAGGACTTGGCCCGACTGAATGGCCGGTGGATTGCGGTCGGATGGCAGAAAGGGCTATCCGGGGAGGGTGAGATCCGCGAGAAGACGCGACGCAGCGGGATCGAATTCATTTCTCGTAAGGCGCGCCGCCTTCGCGAGTCCTCGTGAATCTTTTATGGGGGTCGTCAAAGTGATCAAAGCTGAGAGACTGGCGGGGGGCGGGGGGTGAGGGTGGGGGGGGGGAGGACGAGACGGTGGTGCGGCCGGCGCCCAAGTACGAAGTACGCTCGACTTAATCAAAAAGTGGCAAAGGCCGGATCAGAGCCGAGCCGCGCTTGCGATGGCACAACAGGTGTGTGGAATGAAGATGAAACGAGATCCCGGTAACGCGATTGCGATAAGTGCATTGCGGGCGAAACGAGCGGCGTTAGCGCGCGCAGATTTGTCTACCGTCTCGGTGAGTCATCAGCAAGACCATCGAGGTACATTGCGAGTCGGCCGAATCTCGGTGTACGAATTCCGCGCGAGGGAAGATCACTTCTGTGCATTCCCGTCTGTGTCGTCCCCCTCGCGGATAATCTCTCTCTACACAAAATTAGCGATGGAGGACGAGGTCGATGCTCAGCCATGCGCAACCTCACACTCGGCGGACTCGCCGGAGGGTACTTACAAGGGGCGGCTGGTCGTCGTGGGGTAGCTTGCCGTCGAGACAGAAGTAACACTTGTCGAGTGGCTTCCAGTCCTCCGGCGGCGGACTCGTGCGTCTCCCAATGAGAAACGGCGTCGCGACGCTCGTCGCGGTCGCGTTCCCGTCGCGGCATAACAGCCCCGACCTGGTCCCTTCCGAATCCGTCGCCGGCGCCGTTAGTATCGTAGTGCCGCCGCCAGAACCCGGTATCTCCTGCAGCTCCTCCTCTTTCTTTACCCTCAGTAAGCCCTGCGTTACCGGTGCCCGCTCCAACGCGATCTCCTCCGTTCGTTCCTGAAACGAGGAAAGACAACAAGGGTGAAGAACGTTCAAGAATGGAAATTTTCAGGTTGCCACGACCTCTCGAGCGTGGCGTATCATTAAGTCTCCGTAGAAAGACTGCCGTCTTTCAAACGTCTTTCTAACCAACCTTGGTCCCTTCCGTGTCGGTAGCGTTGGCAGTCGGATGATCCCGAGTCGCACGATCGTTCTCCGTTCTGAGGGGGCTGACCGCCGACCTGTCGGCGTCCTCGTCGAGCTTGAGCCGTTTCTCCGCCTCGTTCTGGCCCCGTCCCGTCTCCTCGTCCTTCTCGTCGCCGTCCTCCTCCCCGTCGACGTCCTCCCCGTCGTTTTGCCGGCGAACGCGTCGCCGTCTCGTCGCTATCGTCGTCGTGCCGGTCGCCGTTGTCGTTGTCGACGTGGTCGTCGCGATGCCGGTGGTCGTCGCCGTTACTGTCGTTGTCGCCACTTCCGCCGTCGTCGTCGCCGTCGTCGACGTCGCCGTGTCCGTCGTCCTCGCCGAGGTATCCTCCCGCGCCGCGGTGCCGTCCGTGGGCTCCTCGTCGGCGGCCTCGATCTTGACTTCGCCCGGCCTCAAACGACGCGAATCCTCCTGCTGCTGTTGATGGTCCTGGGCTGGCGCGGGCAGATGGTGATGATGGTTCTGCGGATGATGCCTCTGCAGGCTCTCCTGCTTCACCGCGCCGGTCGTCGTCGTCGTCGTCGTCGTCGTCGTGGTCGTCCCCGTCGTCAGCACCGTCGACGGCAACGACGTGGGTGCCGGCTGATGCAGCTGCGGCCCAATCTGGTCCAGGCTCCCGGGTATCGGGTTGCAGGACGACGACAACGCCGGGTAAAGCCGATGGTGGGGCTGTGATTCGCTGCTGCGGGTGCCGCTGTACAGGGTGTCCTGGTATTGCTTCCATCTCCTACGGCCCATCAACTCCTCCGCTACCCGTTCCAGACCTGCGACACCACCGCAACTACATCAAACAATGACGTGCACCGGTTACCCGGGACCCCGTGTGGAAAGGAGCTTTCGGTAAAGGAAGACATACGGTTCTTGTGCGCTTGACCAGACACATCGAAAACAAAATAATGCGAACTCATTGATCATTTTACGCATCTTACGATCAACTTTGGTCGCATGTACTCATGCATTAATGACAATGATGGGCAGCCTCTTGAAGCTTCAAGTATCTCGGCCGCAGATCCACAGCCTTTTCGGAGCAGCTGTCTAAGTCTGTCGTTGAATTTATACAACGAGTACATTCGAATTCGTCGGACGATATGAGATTTCAACTTACAGTTAGTGGACTATTTCGTTTCTGATCTTATCAGTCTGAAAACAGTCTGCTGAGAATAGCTGCGTGGTACCACATGCGCCGAAAGCCAGGCGATAAGTCTATCAAAGTGTATTTCTCCGAATGTTAACTATCGCTATCGTAATCGTATGCACCAAAGTAAGTGGCACGCGGTTTTATAATCGCGGTTGCATAATCGGTGAGTTACGAGGAACGCGGCCGCTGCGGATGACGATATCTAGCCCGCTGCACAAATTCACGCACGCGCGTCGCCATAATGCGCGGAGCCGCGGCTTGTTTGTCATAGGAAATGATGGACGATGATTAAGGTTCCAAGGAAAAGCACGCGGACACTCGCATAGCTGCGAGATGCGGATGCAGTTCTTCCAGCGAGAATCGCACGCGAAATTATGCAGATCGCGCGCGCGATTGAGTAACCGGACATGGTGGTTTCCGAAGGACACGGCCGCCGGTGCGGCAAGGCGAGGCAGAAAGAAAAAAAAAAGAGCCGGACTTTTGCGAGAAGAAACGGCTCGTTTTCTTTTCCCGTTTTCAAGCCGGCGCGTAATTCGAGGGGCGAAATTATCGCAATTATTGAAGCTCCATCGAGGACTTAATTGCACGCGCACGGAAGTAAAAGGTGTTCATATAATTAATCGTCCTTTTCATTGCTCTGAACAAACATGTGAACGCTCCGGGCGAATTAAAACACATGGAAACGTAATTTCCTTGGAACTCCGCTAATCTTTACGTAATTATGAGCAATTATCGGGTTATCGCGAAAGTTTCGTTGGCGCTGCTGAAAAAGAAAGAGACTTTTCCGTTCGATGTTGCACTTAAGTGCAGACGTATCGAAGAAGGTAAGAGCATTTAAGGGAAAATAACACTCGCCATCGATTTTCGTATAATCCCTTGAAACGTACTGTGAACGCGCTCAATATCGGGGGAGAGGGGAGGGAAAAAAAACGTCGGTTTTTGTGTCCCACGGGCAGCTACAATTCGCTCATGCCAGTTATAATTCCGCTCCACTCCCCAGAACGGCTCGCGATAGAGACGGCGATAACGGGATTTTTTCACTTCCTTATCCAAAGGCCGAATAGTTGACTGTTATCACAGCAGCGTGACGCGCCTAACTCCGGCTCCGACGAAAAGATTACCGAGCGTCAGTTCTGCGCCGGCGGATGCTGTTTAATCGCCGGCAGGATTTTACAAATTATGATATTTATGCTAGTCGAAACAATTATCAGAGCCACGCCATAGTACGTTGCGATACGTGTGCATTTGTGACGGATGTTAATTTCCTGAATAAATATTTAACATCGCGGAAATATGCCCGCCAGCGCGGGCTTGTGTTTTTCGCTCGTTCATTAATTTAGCAAACAGTATTCGATATTCATTTGAGCAAAAGCTCCGTGATCCCGTCGTACATTTTCGTCATCGAAGAACCGTGAAAACGATTTAATTTGCAACGTTCGAATTTCATTTTGCGCCAGACGTTTTCTCGCGCCGGCCGCATTTTCGCGTCTCCGCGAAAACCGTGCTTAGGATTTCGGGGGGAAAACCCCATCGATCCCGTCCGTTGCTCGCGGGCCTCGCTGCTCGGGCGACGCACACGCGTCGCGGGGACAACGGCGGGATAATCTCATTACTTAAATCGCTTAAACAATTTATACCCTTTAATCGAAACGATCGCAGTTCTATCGTTCGCTCTCGCCCGGTCCCTCGGAACACGCCGAGCGTGCTCCGTTGCAGCTCCATTGATTTATCACGCGGGAAAAATAGGATTTACCCGAATCGCCGGCCTCCAACTCTCAAAGAGCGTTTCCCTATCCGCGATCAAACGCAAACCGATTACCGGCCGGCCAGTTACGGCTTGGACACGCCAATCAGCGCTTCTCGGCGGACACCCGGTATCGCGGCGCGCGTGCCGCGGATGCAACGTACCGTCACGCCAATCGGTACCCGGTGCCCGTGTGTACGCTCGCACCCACGTGCATACGTTTCGCACAGACGTGCCCGCGTTTCTACGTTTCGTGGGGACGATCGCGAAATACGCGCACGTACGCGCGTACATATGTGGAAATATCGTACACATCGCGTGCGAATCGAGTCCGGCGGCGATTTTTCATGGCGCCCGCCTTCGTAGCGCTGAATTGATTTTGTCGTTTGCCGCGCGGGCGGGATAGTCATTAGGGCCGCAAAGAGCCGGCCGCGGGTCAACCACGGCACGTCGTTTCTGCGAAACGCGTTGTTTCCGCGGAACGGCGGGGAATTCGCAAATTAAATTGCGCTCGGGATCGATCCGACCGCTCATTGGTGTACGATTCGGCGCACGTCTTGGAATTTCGAGGCCTTCGCCGGCCGCGCGCCGGACCGGTTCGCGCCACAATTTCATTTGCAATTTCATTTCCAATTACATTACGGTCTAATGCGAATTCGACCAATCATTTCACGTCAATAGGGACTATGCGGCAAGTGTGTCCGCGATAGAGTGATAAAGCATGAAAATGTTTAATTGGGCCGGTGCAAAGTGCACGCAGGCGCGGCAAGAAAAGAACGCGGCGAAAAATTGTGCCGGCGCAAAAGAGATCGCGGATCGAATCGCGCGTTCTCCTGCTTTGAAAAATGTATATATTGTTCTAGAAATATAAACCTCATTACAACGAGACACCGCTAGGATTCAACGCGTTGTAACCGTACCGCTTAATTCGGGATCAATTTGCAGCGGACCAGCGGCTTTGCGGTAAAGCAGAACCATTGAAAATTTCAGAGGGGAAAATTTCGGCACGCTTGAAGCAACGATTGTTACACTTTGCCTTCGTGAATTTACAAAGAACAATATCACCTGTGTTAAGTGAATGAGCGATTAAATTATAACGCAACCTCCAAGGTTTTCCACTGTGTATCGCGCATTTGCATACGATTGCGTTCGAACAACTGAGCCTCGCGAGTGTGGATTAAATGTAATTGTATCAATTAATGCGATGCGGCGATGCTACGTCGAAGCTAGGATCATCGAAAGGAAAATTCCTCCGCTTTTGCAGCGATTTCGAAGGATACGTCGAACGTTAGCGGGTTCGCAGAGCGGGAAACAAAATAAACGGCCTCGTGCCGTAGTAGCGCAATCGTGAAAACAATTTCGAAAGTACATTAGGCTCTTTCTCTAAATTAAAGTCCGCTAAGGTCGGTTTATCTCACGCAAATGGACATTCGCGCACAGCTAATTATTCCGCGGCCGCAATTATTATCGCCTGACTCAACGGCGCGTATCGGAGTTAGTTTAATCGTGTTATTTTCTTCGAAGCGCGCAGAACTCCTGCGCGGTCCGAAATAATCTGTCGTCGCGTATCTCCCGGGCGAACTTCGGGGGATGCGAGTCGGAAATCGAAGTTGCTCGATCACATATGTATATCGCCGTTTGGAATTTCGCGAGCGTAATGAGTCTTATGCGTTTTAGCCGTTAATTAGTTCGGTCGTTAATTATGCGTTTCGCTCGATAATTACTGTGTTATTGATTTACACCAATATTAGCGGCCAATGCGCGACAGAAGAAATTGATAACTATACAATTGTATATTATCAAGTGCGTAGATATCGCTCTCTAACTGTCCGGTAAAATGAACTTTAACGCGCGAACCCCACACCCTCGGAAAGGTTTTCCGTTACCGTGACAAAATATATTCTTGACGCATATATATTTCTCGCAACCTCGTTTAGTATGAAAATGAGACAATATCAAAATTAAATCAATAATTCTTAATCTCCTCTATCGAATTGAAAAAGATCGACTTACTATATTGAGACAAGAGTAACTTAATATATTCTTGCGTTTGAAATCAATTTTCCCTCCATCTTGCAACGCACGAAGTTGGCACCGCGATATTCGACAAAAGACGGATACTATCATTCTATTCTACATTTTAGAATGTTCCATTTGAAATTAAAATATTCCTTTCTCTATAATAAGTATGATTAGCGCTATATCAATTCTATTTTCGGATACATTCAAGTGTAATAGCATTGGATTCGAAGCTTCCACGTTTGAGCAATTCCCGTCCCAATTTTTCATTTCGCAAGAAAATGACTCTCGGAGAATCCCGAGTTCAGCTGTATTTGCAGTCCAGTGGGATTAACATGCTAAAAACATCAACTGTATAACACAGTGTACTACTGAATTTGATATCGAAATGATTCGATAGCGCGATACCGTAATCGTGTAAAAAAGTTAATTGGAGCTCCCGTGTTCTCGAAACTTGTGAATTCGTATAAATCAATGATTTCGGTTGCAAGTTTGCGAGTACGACTGCCTGCAGCCTTGTTACTTAAATTTATTATCAATTGGTAACCAGTTTGTTTTCAGGATACCGAGCACTCGGCGGCATTAATTAATATGTAACGGCATTAGCATGTTAACCGGTTCTCCAGCGAAGTTGATAGAAAGGTTGGAACAAGTAGCGAAGTTGATTTTCAGCGCAAAGGGATGGCCGGTCTGCCGTGTGAAACGCATACAAATTTCGGGGATTACTGCAGAGTATAGTGATCGCGGAAGATATATCGCGGGTTTCGCCTGAGTTCATGAATAAGCGCGAATTACCGCGTGAAGAACGAGAACGCCATTGATCACCTTGGATGGCTCGCAATTATACCAACGTACGTGTTGAAGCGAACGAAATGTTAATCCTTAATTCTAAATTGGCGACATCATTTTACCAAATTTCTGTTTCAACTATCGTAATTATCTCTAAACTATTCGAGCGTGAGCCTCGTAATTGATTTTTCAGACAAATGTGAATTGAAAAATAATTA